CACAAAACAAACACAAAGTGGAGAACGACGAAAAGGTCATAACACCTGGCGCGGAAAGGACGGAACATGACGCAAACAGCACCCCAAGTTGCGGTGGCGGCAATCCCGATAGCCATCCAAAATACCGATGGGGCCTCCTTTCCGCTGAGCCTGGACGATAGTAAAGCTAGAGCTGTATACGGTAACGACTAGAGGACGTCACATACCCAATCTTAGCCTAGAAAATCAACGTGAGATACTACATTTGGATCAGTTTTAAAATCCCAAACTCACCCTTCCATAAGTATGAATCAAGACCAAAATAAAGCACATTCTTGCCGAAAGACGATGGAGGAAGTTAGTCTAAGAAAGCAAAGCTCGATTAGAGTTAAATGTATGTCGCTATTCGTAAATTATTACCTTCTCATAGCTAATTCCCGTGACGACTGTCAAAAGTACAAACGAATCAGTTCAAAGGTGTCAAAATGTAAGGAAAGCAGGACATACTTACGAGTGATGAGGTTGTTTTTACCGGCTAAAAGGACCATCAAAGGCATCTGAAAGACCGCAATATTACCTGCCCGATTGCCATAGTATCCATGTTGAATCTTCTCGCCGGTCGTAATATTTTTGCCTGAAGAAACCGTGAGTGAGGCGTTCTAGTGAAAGAATATAAAAAGGCTTACTGTTGATGAACTCCCAAATGAGCATGGCAAGAATATAACCCGCCGCAATAGCTACCTCGGCGAAGTTGATATGGTGTCCCCAGCCGAGAGGCACAGTGAACCGGAAGAAGATGATCCTCCAAGTGTTAGCGATGGCAAAGGGAAGGCGACGAATCGAAGACTTGTTGTTCGCGGCTCCGCGAGCAGGTTCGCCGGCCTCAGATTGTCGGCCCGCAGATGAACGCTTGAGGTTCCAGGCGTAGATCAGTTGGCCAAAGTAGTAGCATGCGATAAGGAAAATAAAGATTCCAATCATATACCATTGCTGCTTAGGATAGTTGTTGGCGCGCCATGTACGAAGAGTACGGTTTGGGTCGTTCTTCTGTTGTGCCAATGACTGCCGTTCGGCGGGAGTGCTGTTGACCATGGTGACAAGGCGCGGGTCTGTACGACGTGGGGGAGGGTAAGGAGATGGAGAGAAGGCGACGTTGAAGAGAGAGGAGGCGGAGAGGGGCGGGGAATCGCACACTGCCTCCTTCAGTCCGTGGGCCTCTTTTTATCAGATAACTTTCGAGCGCCCAAAATTTCGATAATCTGATATGATAACACGTCGGAGATGCATATTCGGCTCATGAACGACCGACGGAAACTTTTCCAAGACTCAGTTGTGCATATTTGGTGCCAGATCGTGGAGCTTAATAGAGCTTGGTCTAGACATTATTCTTCTCAGGATTCAGTTTCATCAGCAAAAATTATCATGCTACATTTTTTCAGTGGTATGGACCCTTTTTTGTGCTTGAAAAGAAGTCCGAGTTCCTAGAAACTCTTGCTTTGAGGAATAATCAGAAGGCGACAGAGTTCAGCTCAAAACTGCTAGCCTAGTACTCTGTCTGCCGAGTGCTTACGTTTATTTTATTTTCCTGCACTGGCACGTCATTTTGTGATCGTTAATCGGAAAGTTTAATCTGTATCCGTCACCCTCAATTTAAGGATGCAACACAATCGAATCGAAGCTCTGCCTCCTGAGTACTTATTATCTTCTTTCTTGTTTTCTCAAGAGCTTTCTACCTTTTTTCACCACTAAAATTTCCCTGAATTACACTTTCTTCCATACTTGTGTGGACAGCTTAAAAAAAAGAATACAGTTAAGCCACACCAACACTTGCGCTTATCAGATCATGATCATTATCAGATTAGAGAATTCAGACGCCCTTGGCATCTTATCCGATAAAATGGCTTATCAGATAATTGCCACGTACCAATCTATGATCTTCAAAAAAGAAAACAACCAAGCCCGGCCTTTTCGAGTCGGGTACTGTGCTTCAGGGGATGGCTGGCGAATTCATCATCATTACATGCATCCTTGCGCTTCTTTTTGGTGAACAGCTCCATAATACGCACTAATCCATTTAAGATAAAGTAAAATACAAGGTGTCCGTCATTAGGGGCAAAATGCAGGGTAGTTTGTAGTCTGTCAATCATTGGATGACTTCCCGCAGGAATTTTAAGATTTAGAACGCGTTCTAAATTCTAAAATTCGGTTCCAAAAATTTTGGTTCGGCGATTTAGAAAAGTGCTGTCTCCCGTAAGTCCGACTCCAAACTATTTTCCAAAGCACGAGCTTGCCATATGTGGTGAACTGGCGTTCGCACCTTATCAGTATCAATGCACCCTATAAGGAAGAAGAGGCAGAACAGTGGTGATTAGCATAGAGTTCAGCTCATTTGCAAAAACCTAAAATAGCCAAAGTAAAGTAGGAATTAGGTATGACCTCCTCCCTCTCTTCAAGGGCAGATTAACAGCACATGGCGGAGATAGGAGGATGAAGGACTTGTAGACACTTGTGGATGTCCTATGTCCATCAGTGATGGAGGGATGACAAAGACACTAAAACGGAGGCTTTTCTAAATTGCAGTTTATTAGAACGACCCCTCTAGCGTCGATCATGAGCTTGGAAAAAGAGCGCTCATTCCGACATCACGGCTCACAGGCGTTTAGAGAGAATTTCGGATTTTAGAATAGGATTTTAAAATTTAGATCGCTGCGGGTAATAATCATCCAATGATGGTGTTAACTGTAGATTCCAGAACGGTGGCTGACGAATGTTGCGACAATCATTACACGCGATCGAAGTCAGCAATCCGGTCCAATGTTTCAATCATCCTAAATTTCTCCACTTGAAGTCTTCCCCTGAGTATGCTGCCTGGGCCGGCCATATCCGATGCTAATGTATAAAGCGCACCGAATTTAATAGTAGATGCGGTCCGCAAAATTCGTAGATTGTCAGAATTTTCTCTCTTCAGTCGCCAAGAACATATATTTCACTTACTGAAACTGGACTGGCGAAGACAAAATTTCCCTCGCCTAATATTCTTTTGAGGTCCGAACGTCCTTCTCAACACGTACCCCTCGGATCTTGGCCAATTCGGGAGTTGAAGCGACTCCTCGGAGTCTTTCACCACTGACGAAGAACCACGGGTCGGACTTGAAGCCTGTAGGGCCAACGCTGCCAAGTCATACTCTGAAATATCTATCGCCACATTCTCTGAGGTCTTCTCGATAGCAGAAACATTATCAGTTTCCAAACTGGTTACATGAACGCGAATATCAATTTGCAGGTAGGTAGGGGCTTCTACTTGGACGAGGTGGGGGCATATGCGCCATTACGAGAGGTTTGTCAGGACCGGTCCTCGCTCGCTCAGCAGACCCGAGTTAGAGGCCCTACCAAAGACACGTATGGACCAGATGAAAACAATTCGGCAACATACCGCTTTGTTCGCCGGTTCCCGTTTGACCAAATCCACAAACAATGGAAGGGTATACGTCACACCAGTGTCACCTAAAGAAAGATTAAGTTATCAACAATTATTCGTTCATAAAAAACTAGAATAACGGTCTCGGATGATACCAGGTTTGGTAATGCACCGTAGGAACCATTCAAAATCACATTGATGCTCTTTCCCGAATGATCCCTTGCATCGAACATCCCTAACAGTGAATCCGTCCCTTGCGTGAATAATGAATACCAGTTTCTTCTCTCAATGCTCCTGCAGACCTTCGGATCGACACTAGAAATAGTAAAAGGATGTGACTCGATGGGAAGGCTTGAGATATCAGGAAGGGTGATGAACATGGATTGACCGGGGCGTAATGAAATGAAGCGACGAGAAACAGTTAATCGTACTGTATCTGAGGATAGAATTTCGAGTTTGAGGGAGATATAGTGCGGTGTAGGAAAGGAATGTTGAAGAAGATTATCCGACATGCACGAGCAAGGCCCTAGATAAACAGACCCGGCCACACATATACTCCCATACTACATAGTGAATTAGCAAATAGAAAATAAAATAAGGCTTGCTAGAGTCATACCCAGAGCGAGCCTGCTGCATATGGAAATATGCAGCGAAGAGGACAATTCTATGACCACAGTTATCAGTATGCTTTCCCAGCAATATGTGAGCTAAAACACTCACACGGCCAGGATGGTACGAGAATAATAGAATACTTCATACATAACACGCCTAATAGGACGACGGATGGGGCCAAATGCTATAAGGGTCTAAGCACCGGCTACAACAGCTTGGCACCCGCGAAGTCAGGTTTCGTCCCAATTGTCAGCACCAGTAAAATTGTTTCAAATTAGCCAGGAATACATGAAAAAATTAAGAAAAATCTACGTACTCAATTTTAAAGTTTGCTTGAAGGGAAGAGTCAATAAAGAATATAATGGAGGGAAGAAATACGCACTTTGACCCCAAGCATGAACCCAAACTGAGACGACTCGGAATACGAGTCTTGCAAGGTGAGCACTGCGGAAATGCATCAGACGTCTTAATCGACGATGTCAACCAAACATAAGAAGAGCAGCTTGCAGCTAACTATATTATTACTTCCTGTAACTTTGCAACGATGAGAGTACTTAGTCTGACTTGCAGCAACGGTTCCTGCACGATTCGCCCAGTAATTCATGTCCAGATTGTGACGAGTCGTACTACATTGCGAGCTTAGTAAAGAAGTAAATTATGTAATGGTACATGATCAATGAAATATACTTACTATTGATAAACTCCCAAACGAATACGGCAACAGGTAACCAATCCTTATACACTCCACGTAAGCCTCAGATATAATTTTCTTTCGTTCTCAAGTATTTACTAGAACTTACGCATACTTACACTCAATGATTCAGGCTGAAAAGGAAATGTGAGTCCGAATCCGAATCCGTAGAAAAGTGTGGAGTTCGGAGGGAGTGGAAAGTTCGGATCTTCCGTGGACGGGCGGGAGTATTCCGGGGACGCCTCCACTACGGGATCCATCAGGAATCCTATATCTCCACTGCTTTTCAGCGGAAATATATGCCCCATGGCTTAATTGGGTATAGCATCCGACTGTTACTCAAAATCGTTCCTCAGTCCGAGATTCGGTAGCGAAAAAAGCAGAAGGTCGAGAGTTTGAGCTTCTCTGGGGCAGGTTCTTTTACCAATTTTTGGTTAGAATTAATAACAATACAAGTTTGTATTCACAGAAATACTATACAGTTCAGCTAGCATGTACTTACTTACATAGTATCAATACCATCGAGCATATTCTGGTATTCGACTGCAAAATCCTCCATCATGCCCAACACTTGCACCAAATGCTCATAGCGAATATTCTCTCCTCTGCTCAAAGCTACCGAAGTCGCTGTTTTCACAGCATTCTTGACTTGTCTCCCATTTATCTTCCTCTTCGCCAAATAGTCCAACTGATCATTCGATACCTGCGGATCACAACCCATCGATACTCCAGCCTTGACAATAAAGGCTGCCCAAATCGCTCGCAAAGCGTCTTCAGAAAGGTCTCGGAAGTGAAGGGCAATATGAATGCGAGATAGGAAGGCATGATCGATAGCCTTGAGTCTGTTGGTCGTTAGGAATAAAATGGCCGGATAATACTCCAAATGGCGCAAGAAGACGGCCACCATGGCATTTCGTTCAATGTCCTGCATGTTTCGTTCGCCCAGGAAAACATCAGCTTCGTCGATTAGGACAATAGCGTTCCACGCTCCAGCCAGTTCGAACACTTGTTGCAGATTATAATCGAGGTCATCAGCCCTTGTGCCAAGGTCGCTGCTGCCAACGACATAAAGAGGTTTTTTGACGTCTGTAATTATTTTTTTTAGGAAATATTGCGATAATTCTAGGAATTTCACTCACGTTCACTAGTCGCCTCGGCCGTGAAGGTCTTTCCTACACCGGGCGGACCGAATAAATTAATAACGAGGCCTCGTCCCTTGCCTTTGATAAAATCATCAAATCCGGTTCCTTTATTGTGTGCTTCCACGAGCGATTGAAGGAGAACTTTACGGCCTTCAGGAATCACGAGGTTCGCGAAAGCATCTTTATCCCATATAATATCCCGAACCTTTTCAACATCGAATGTCACTTTGAAAGAAAACCCGTCAATAGTTACTCTGAAAATCCATATATGATACTTACGCCATTCTTTATCGGACAGGCTGAAGCCGTACAGGATGGGGGAAGTGATGAGGAAATCATCCTCGGCCAACTCTTCAATAACTTTGCTCTCCTTTCTGTGAGCCAGAAATCAGAATAAACACCCGATACGAAATGATCGAAAACTTACGGCCGATTGAGGGTAATTAACTGTACAGGAGGAGAATGATCCCGTCGCCGTCTGCGACCAGTGTGCCCTCCCTGCGAGAAATTGGCTAGGACATCCCTCATGAATTCACCACTGCAATATATCTTTCGAGAATCGCATACCTTTGTCTAGCATCACGCGAGAATCAATCTGAAATAATAATCAGTAAACAGACTTTAACCGAGAGTGATTTTGCACTTACATCATACTTGGTTGCGTTCGTAGAAGACGCCGCACTTCCTTGATAATAGACATGATGAATTCCACCCGCCAGTCCAGCCCATTTCCTGCCCCGAGCTAACAAGGTATCCTTCAATTCCTGCTGCTTAGGGTGGAATCGAAGCGGATAAACCGTCAAAGATGTAATCTTCGTCACCCCCACGAAAATAGACAAGTATTCAGAAATCTCGGTCTTGACGAATGCATTCCCGGGGCCTATCTCAATGTTCTCTAATGTCATGATTAAAGTGGGTAATTGAGTCTCGGGCATGCGTCCGAACGATGCGGATTTTAACTTGTATGCTTGGAAATCTCCCGTTTGGGAATTGCGTTTAAGGATGAGTTCATCAGAGACGAAGATGGACCAGAGTAGATTGAATGTGATTTCATCGTGGGATGTAAGGGTTTTAATCTTTGCGAGGGTGGCTTTGTAGTCTTCTTGCAGATAGTCTATTAAGACTTTGACCGTAGTAGCGAGGTTCTTCTCTTCTTCGGTTGAATTGCCTTTCTCAGAGAGGGTTTTCGCAGAGAGATTGGCGTGATAATTCTTGAACGCAGGCAACTTCGCCAATAGGACTACTGGGTCGACCTACAAGGATTAAAATTAATAAAAACAATTCAATCCCGATAAACGCAATTGTGATATCCTTACCTCCATCGGAACAGAATTCCACGAAAGCCCAGGCACCTCTCCAACAACCTCGACACAAGCTTTCAATAAATACGGACTCTTAATGACGACCTTAAAGTACGCAGGACGCCCATCATCCGGCACCTCCCTCACAACAACAAAGCAATACTGCTTCCAAGGATCGTCTTTCTCACCAGAGTCTGTCGCAAGAGGCCTCAATTCAGGAATGACTTTGGCTCCAGAATTTTCATATTTCCATTTTTGCGACCACTTGCTGAAGAAATGGTCGACTTTCTTGACTTTCGTTGTTAAGGGTGCCTGGATCTCCTGAGGTTGCAGGGTTATGTTGGATTCTTCGAGGAGAGGCTGACGGTAGACTGGGAGTTGGGGATTGGTATCGAACGCGCCAGATCGAGAGTGCCGTCTGGATCGTGATCGGCGTGGTGGTATTATCACAGGTTGGGTAGGATATTCGGAGGCGGGGTAGTAGGCCATAGAAATTGGGATACTGACGATAGTTGAAAAGATCACTGGGTTTTATATTAATTAGTGCCAGAAGGTATCGCCTTTCGCCTACTAGTATTTATTCATCCTGTGTAGGGCACGTGTCCATGTACAGATAGGACAATCAGAATCATTGCTGGAAAAAAGTGACCCTGTTGTACAAATGCCAGACGAATTCAAGAATAAGATGGCGGCAGAGCAGTGCGGAGCGTTATTGTGTGCCGCCAAGCGTTCCTTAAGACCTTATTAGGCAAAAGGCGTATGCTTTGTTTCCTGAGAGCGACGTCTTCAATGCCGTACGGCTAGAGGCAGGCTGTACCCATGGGATTTACGGTCATTTTTAGTTGGCTGCTGATAAGCAAAACCGAGTACAAGATGGATAGGTAATACTTAGATTCAATATGTTTAAATCATAATTAGAAAATATCCACTTGGAAAGCAAAGTGTAGTATGTACGAAGTGGATCCTGGCTGACATGACTCCGGCAGATTTATCCTCCTTTACTCGATGTGGGCGAAGGCTTTTAGATGGAAGAATTTGAAAATCTCCACCGGCGGAGTGCCCTTGCGGACTGGTAAATCACGCGCACGGGCATATAACGAGACTTGAAGGTGAAAAGTAGGTTCGGCACAAACCCCGCTGGCCACACGCGCCCGCGCGCGGCGGTCTTGGCACTAGACTATGGTGCGGCGCGTCTATAGTCACCGCTTCTAAGCTGGCGGCGGAATTGGGGAAGGCACAAAAGTTCTATCTCCATCAGTTTTAAGAATTTCGAGAATCCCTCTACATAGACAATCTGTTCCTATCATTGAATGGAACATTTCTACAAGAGGAATAAGAAATTTAATGATAGCCGATTTCGTTAGCGCCCATTGTACAAAAGAGGACGCACCGCACCATAGGTGAAAAGAGATGACGAAGCGTTCGAATTCGTTTGTAATAAATGCGGTGTGATGGGTGGATGTGGCGGTGCCATGGATGTGACGACGCGATGTACGTTATGGAACCGGCTTGAACTGGATGGTGAGCAAAATGGACAAAATTACCAGTTGACTGGTGTTACCTCATCTATATATTATGGCCCATCGACCATTGCAACATAAAAATGCAGAAAATAAATGAGAAGAAACACAGAGTTATCATTACTAGTTATTATACGTAACTTCATCCGCGCCAGATAATATACTCCCCTCTCCTTCAAGTTCTTCGACTTGACTTTAATCTTAGCTTTCTAGCCTTCGTCGTCGCTTTACTCTTCAAAGCCTCTTCCACGCCCTCCTCGTCATCCGTAACAACCATCATCTCCTTTCCCTTGCGCTTCGTCGGACTCTTACTCTCACTCCCACTCCTCTGTCCCACATTAACCTCAACCCCAGCCTCACTCAGACTCTTTCCAGCCTTCCCCAGCCTCATTACTCGACTCCTCCGACTCAGATTCGACCCTCCAACCCCCATCTGAAACGGCACCTTCCTCATACTCTTCTTCCCCATCCTAGTTCCCATCCCGTGCGTAGGGCCATAGGCGTCATAGGCCGGTGGCAGATGTTGAGTGTGACAAGGCGCTTAGTGAAGTGACGCTTATCTAAGCAACCGCTGCAGCGTCCTCCGTCTAACTCACCATGTCTGAATTTTGTCCTGTGTACGCGCCCTTTTTCGGTGCAATGGTAAGTTAGCTCAACTTATGAAGAGAACTTCGGCTGATCCTTTTGCAATAGGGTTGCACCAGCGCAATTGTCTTCACCTGTACGTGCCCAATCCCTCTTTGCAGTGATCGAAGTACTGAGAGTATGCCCCATATGGCTGATAGGTATTGGTGCTAGGTATGTGGCACACTTTACATATCAAAAGATAAGGATTGACGAAGGATTTATTGCCTTCCTTGAATAGTTATGGAACAGCCAAGTCTGGCGTTGGCATTTCAGCCATGTCCGTATTACGTCCTGACCTCATGATGAGGTGTGTAGTTCCAGTCATTATGGCTGGTATCATTGCCGTGCGTCATATAATGCAGTTTTCTACCCGAACTCTTCGCTCACACACCTCTGCAGATTTACGGTCTCGTCGTCTCGGTGCTCATCTCAGGAAACTGTGAGTATTTCACTTGTATACTTGTCTTTAATTGATGTTGAATACTTACCGCGCTGCAGTGCATGCCCAGATGCCCCTTTTCACTGGTTTCACTCAGCTAGGCGCTGGTCTGTCTGTTGGATTGGCAGGTTTGGCTGCCGGCTTTGCTATTGGTATTGTCGGTGATGCTGGTGTTCGCGGAACTGCTCAACAGCCACGGTTATTCGTCGGCATGGTACGCTATTCATGACTTGAAGAATTTTGTCATTAACGTGCCATTTAGATTCTTATTCTTATTTTCGCTGAAGTCTTGGGATTGTATGGTGCGTCTAGGATGGCACAATTTAGTGTGCGCAGATAATGCTGACTCGTTACTTTTATAAGGTCTCATCGTTGCGCTCATTAT